ACTCTCTTGAAGCCAGCACCAGTGCAAAACTAACGGGCAAACAGACCCACAGAGCTAAGTGTTTTGTCTGTTGAGTTAGATGTTAATCAGAGAAGAAGAGTATGTGCGGGTATATTCACAGTAGTTCCAAGTTCTTTACTCTGAACATGTTCTTCAGGAGACTTACTCTTACTATGCACAAGAGTTCTCCACTGCCTTCAAACTTGAACACTCTGATGGGTCCCCTGCTGGACTGTTAGAACCCTGCAGAGATTAAAACTTTGAATTCACATCCATGTCTGTAAAAATGAGCTGCCAATATCTGCATCCACATCCTCAGAAACCCAGAGCTATAAAGCAGATATTCACAGATTTGTAGGACTCTATTGATTCTGTATTAGAGCTGTTACCAGAAAATGCCAGCGTGGGGCTCAGTCCACTGAATCTCTGCTCAGCTGTCCTTTAGTCAAGGAGTGTGTTTTGGCTAAGTTGGGAAGTTCACCCTGTTGACCCTGATGGCATCTCTCAGTGCCCTGCCTGCAAGGCCAGATGAGCTCTTTAAATGCTGGTACACATTCTAAGTAACTCCATGGGTGTGCTTAATGCTACCACTGTAAATTCTGTGTAATTCCACTGGTTTGTTTAAAGTCCATGGAAGTCAGTGGCAATCTCTCCATTCACTGCAGTGAGTTTTGGATTAGAGTTCCAGCTATACCAATGTAAATCCCAAGTGACTCTGCTGGCTCACTTAGGGTGCGTCCACACAGCGCCCTAAACTCAAAATAAGATATAAAATTTGCACTACACAAATTACGTATCTTATTTCAACTGTATTTCAAAATAGCTTATTTTGAAATTTGGCATGTCTACACAGCACCAAATTTCAAAATAACACACTATTTCAAGGCATCCCTTAACCCTTGTGGAGTGAGGGTTACAGGGATGCTGGAATAGTGTGCCTGTTATTTCAAACAATATTTCAAAATAACGGGCACATTTAAAGACGGTGGGTAACTATTTTGGGATGTCTCCACTATCCCCAAATAGCTCCGCTGTCTAGATGACATGAGTAAATTCCCAAACAAATTTAGCAAAATGCAGGACAATGTAGCACTTTAAAGACTAACAAGATGGTTTATTAGATGATGAGCTTTCGTGGGCCAGACCCACTTCCTCAGATCAATTAGTGGAAGAAAATAGTCACAACCATATATACCAAAGGATACAATTAAAAAAATGAACAAATATGAAAAGGACAAATCACATTGCAGAACAGGAGGGGGATGCTGCAGGTTCTGAGCAGCTGGGGGCGGGGAGGAAGGAAGGTAAGTGTCTGTGAATTGATGATATTAGAGGTAGGGAGAGTGGGATGTTTGTGAGTTAATGGTATTAGTGGGTCTGGCCCACAAAAGCTCATCATCTAAGAAACCATCTTGTTAGTCTTTAAAGTGCTACATTGTCCTGCATTTTGCTTCAGCTACCCCAGACTAACACGGCTACATCTCTATCACTATTCTACAAACAAATTTACACTGCTGCTTAGCCACTTGGTGTAATTGAGATAATGGTCAACTCAGATGTAGCTGAGATCAGACTCTGTATCTCAGGCCCTGGTTCTGAGGAGTGATAGAGTTTGAGGGTTCTCAGAGTTGGCCTTCATACACTATGGAATCCTTGGCCTTGGCCGCCCTGGATTTTGGTGAACTAGACATGTAAGAGAACCATAGCTTTTGTTTTCTAGCCCTCTATTCTGCAGAGAGAATTTTGCAAATGAACATCAGTATAAATAGATGAGGAGTATCTTAGGGCAGCCATGTTAGTCTGTATCTGCAAAAACAATGAGTAGTCCTGTGGTACCTTAAGACTGGGGTTGAAAAAAGCAGTCTGCCGAGCTCTGCTTCTGCAAGCTGAGGCTAGGGATGGCAAAAATTATCAGCCTGGTAGCTCCTTCACATCCATACTATACAAAAGGAGCTAGGTACCTGAATCTGTGAATGTAAAGAGTCATGTCACTAACTTGCTCAGCTGCATTGGACTGGCCGTGGTGTGATAATGATGCACAGGATTTAGATACAGTTGGTGGAGAATCATTGTTAAACTTATCTGAAAATGCTCAACCTGTTTGCTGAGTATATGGCTACTCAGAGGCCAGGAAGTGAGCAGCCCTCTATCATGGCACTTCCATCCAGACTCTGAGCGAGGGCCAGAATTTGTCTAATTAACAATCGTGCTTTGCTACCTGAGGAGCTGAACACAGTTTGCAAACATCGGTTGATTTGAATAACGGGGCTTACATTGGAATAAAGGGGAAAATAAACATATTAAAAGTAGTAATAAGTGAAAATAATTTATGGTGTAAGATTTTAATCCATCCTGATAATTTACAAAAGTATCCTGGAGTGATTTGTCATCCATAAAACAGCTTACAACTGATACTGAATTGCCTTCAGAGGCACACAATAAACAATTGGAAGAACTAAGATAAGTAGTAGCAATGTTCTGTAATTAAATTGAGACAAGTTAACCTGAATTGCATCACTTTTATTGCTTCATTCAGAGGATTGTAATAGTGATATTCTAATTCTTCATAGACTATGAATCATTTATTAAACTGATTTACAACAATTTTGCAAGGTACAGAACTTCTTTGCTAGCACTTCTTATTAATACTAAACATTACAAAGACCATTTCTTTTCAATGCTGCTTTATTAGCACCCCTTTCGGAAGAAATTAATTTGCAAATGTTCAGCTAAATATTGCATGACATCTGTGCAAATAATTTTTTAAGAATGCTTATTTAAAACATTAAGTGTAGATAAAATATCCAAAAAGGGATTGGTTATCCTTAGCCACCAACATATTTTTTGTGCTGGAATATGTGTGTGTTGCTTTCAGCATTATGAGCTTTCCTTAATTGTGGCACAAGCTTGAACTATATACCCATGAGTGATAAGGTTAAAATCTGCTATTTTTAAGATTCTTATTTTAACAATACCAGTTCCAATCCACCTGTGTCAATCCACTCTAAGTTAAGAGAAGGAGTTACAAAGATATGTCACATGGCTTCCTGCAGCAGAAATTTCTCGCAGCTTCATTTGATATATCAAGTATAGGCCATTGTCAGAGATGGGATACTATACTAGACAAAACTATTGGCCTGATCCATGATAAGCCCTAATTCTGTTAGCTTCAGTGGACGCATATCGATGTAACTGAGATTAGAACTGGACCTAGAATTTACAGCCATTATTAATGGGTATGTGGTTATCCTAACTGGTTCTGAGCTTCCAAAGTCAGATGTGTCTCACTTTGTGTACTGTGACTAGTCTCACTGATGTGAACAGCATTACTTGTGGGGTGCGTCTAGAGTGGCAAGATTTTGTGCAAAAGTGGCTGCTTTTGAGCAAAAACTTGCCAGCTGTCTACACTGGCAAGAATACTTGCGCAAGAGGGCCAGTGTAGACAGGGAAGAACTGTTTTGTGCAAAAAAGCCCTGATGGCTAAAATGGCGATCTGGGCTTTCTTGCGCAAAATCGCATCTAGACTGGCCACGGATGCTTTTGCGTAAAAGCACTTTTTGCGCAAAAGCATCTGTGCCAATCTAGATGCGCTTTTGCGGAAATACTTTTAACGGAAAAACTTTTCCATTAAAAGTATTTCCGCAAAATCATGCCAGTCTAGATGCAGCCACAGTGACTAAAATGTACTACAGTCTTGGCTGTATAGGGCATGTTAGAGACCTCTTTGAACAGAGTCCTGCAATGTGCTAAGAATGTGTTGTGAGGTTCTTGAGTGAAGTCCCTTGAACTTCACTATGACATCCAGAATATGTCTTTGATGATTTATGAAAAATAAGTCCCCAAAGCAACAATAAAAGGAAATCAAATGCAGGTCTTCTCTAGTCTGCAGTGCAGAGAATGTAAAATGTGTGCACCACCATTTGTATATTGCATGTACATTGTTGTCCTTCTATCATGGGAATCTGTATAAACAGATTATACTCCAAAGAGTTACACTTACCACTGCTATAGATAGGCTCAACCTTACAGAAATAAGTGGTTTGCATGCACTTATTGCACGTGACATGAATTTGACCTACAGATGCAAAACGAGGAAACACCTTTCAGCCAATCTGATATTATTAGTTAGGACAAATTCACTACATCTATGACTACATGCAGAATATTCAGTATTTAAAATAATATGGATATTAATTAAAACTAGGTACTTCATTAGCCGCTAAGAAAAGTGATTTTTTTTTAAATCTATCAATGGCAATTAGTGGCCTTTTTTTGAATGAGCTGGGGTATGCAAAAATTTTAAGGACCAAATTCAGCTCCCACTTACACCAGTGTAGGTCTGGAATGATGCCAGTGGAGTACCTTTGGATTTATAGTGATGTGATGGTGAGAATAATGTGGCCCAAGGTACAATATTGTGTATCATAGTGATATTCTGAATTACAATAGAATCTGAATGGTTGAGAAGGAGATTTTCAAAGGCACAAATAGGAAGCAGTGCATGTAAGTCCCATTGATGATTAATGGGAATTATCTGCCATTTGTGCCTTAGAAATTTGTTCCCCAAAGTGCTTTTTGTGTATCCCTGTTAAACAGTCTGGCTCCAGCAGAGCTCTGTTCATTTACACCAGCTGAGGACCTGTCCTAGCATAATAAAATGCTAAAGCACAAAATGGGTTTTTAGCTGCAAAGATAACAAAAAAGCTAAGGTATGATATGTTATCACCATTGACAGCAGAGGGAATAGACATCCGCAGGACTGATTTTAAAGCTATTTCCCATATCTTTTTTTTTAAAGGTTATGAAGATTATGATCACATGTGCAGCTCTGCATAACTGTTCCCTTGGAGACAACGGTGGTTCCCTAGAGAATAGGTGGATATGCCTGGTTAACCATCAGCTTTCTGCTCTTTTTAGCCAAAAGATTCTCTAATTGCTTTTTAACAACTCTCTGTTTTATTCCACCATGTTGTGTCTACCAGCTTAAATTATTCCCTAAGATGGTCCTTTTGCTGTTCCTTGCAATCCTGCTTTCGAAGGGAGATGTCAGTGGGAACTTTGGGTTTTTGGTTGCTGCACAGTCCAATGAAAGAAGAGTGGTCGCATATATGCCTGGTGATATTATCATTGGAGCTTTGTTTTCTGTCCACCATCAGCCAACAGTTGACAAGGTCCATGAGAGAAAATGTGGAGAGGTAAGGGAGCAATATGGCATACAGAGAGTAGAGGCAATGCTTCATACCCTGGACAGAATTAATCTGGACCCAACACTGTTGCCAAATATAACCCTAGGCTGTGAAATAAGGGATTCTTGTTGGCATTCTGCTGTGGCCCTGGAGCAAAGCATTGAGTTCATAAGAGACTCTCTTGTTTCATCAGAAGAAGAAGAGGGGGTAGTGCGTTGTCTCGATGGATCTTCAACATCTGTCCACACCAAGAAACCCATCGTTGGTGTCATAGGACCTGGTTCTAGTTCAGTAGCAATTCAGGTCCAGAACTTGTTGCAGCTTTTCAATATACCTCAGATTGCTTATTCTGCCACAAGCATGGACCTAAGTGACAAAACTCTGTTCAAGTATTTCATGAGAGTGGTGCCCTCTGATGCACAGCAAGCCCGAGCAATGGTGGACATTGTGAAACGCTATAACTGGACCTATGTTTCTGCTGTACATACTGAAGGCAAGTGTCCTGCTTTTTTTCACTCAAGCATAGCTTTGAATTTCAAGTAGTAGATACTTTATTACTAGATGATTATAGCATTGTCTCTGTTTTTTAACCTGTTCTGATTGGTGTGGACTGTGTACTTTCCTCTAAATGTTAGTTTCATACACATGATGTGTCTTGGTGACTTTGGGCTGGTAATGATTGAACAGAAGCATTTGAAATCCAAAGTTTCACAGCATGAAACAGGTTTTTCATATAATTTATGATACCCAAAGTTCTTCAGGTGACATTTTAAAAAAAAGTCTGGATAATTAGATTAATGTGTCTACTATTCAATACAGCAGTTAGAATATTATGTTTATGATGGAGGCAACTGCTCAGGAGGGGAATTTTGTTCGTAGTAGTAGTTACATGGAGATATGGGAGAGCAGTGAGAGCAGCTGAGCCATCTGCTCATTCTTTGTGCTTGATGCCAGTATCAGTGTATGTGTAAGGGACTAGAGGATCTGGGCAGCTTTCTAGGTGACTACACCTCTTTAGGATCAGGAGAACATTTTGAAAGCACTTCTATCTAATTTAAGGAACCAGCAAGTCAATTTTTTAGCTATATCTACTCATCTGCATTTGGGGGTGGGTGGAAAGAGCCTTCTTGCCCCCTTGTAATATGCTGATATTCCATGCAGGTATGGAACAGGCCACAATTGTGCCCTGCAGCCCTCACTTTCCTTTAAATTTGTTCCAAGATTAGAGGTTTTACACCGTACTGTGGAGTTCATGTGAGAAAAGCATGGGAGGGTAAGGTTGAAGGTAGATTCCCATTGAGTTTACCTTGATACCCCCATGACTTACACTGGCTTATTTTAATGGAGTCACACGGGGGCAAGTGAGATGAAAAGCAAGCCCAAAGTCTTCTAAAGTAGGTTTCTTAGATTAAGAGATACCTCCTGCTCTCACTTACCTAAGCCACACCAGAAAGTGTGGAGGATGGGGCATACTGATCATAAAGTGCGTACAACATGAGCTCATAGAAATGTGTAGTAGTGAGCAAGCTGTTCAAAAGCACATCATGTTTCCTTGCCCAGCAAGTGTGGAACACCACTGTGGATGTGCTAATTGTTTTATCTCAACCACCAGACAACAGTTCTTCCCCTTCCCCCCGCCCCCTACACATACCATGGATATAGTGCTTCTTCAGGCCTTTTACCCATTATGCTGGGATAGCACTAACCCGATGCATGAGTGTGATGATCTCCTCTACTTCAGTAGATACAGGTAACTCATTGTGTAGGACTTAGACCTAGGTATCAATAGATCATTAACCCTAGTGAATGTAAGCTGTCTTAGAACTTATATACAGATTTTTAAAAGCATTTTTTCCATCCTGATTATGAGAGCGGATGAGTAATGGCAATCTTATTCAGATATGTATGCCTGAATGCATTAGCAGTTCAATGTAACAGAGTATAAATCACACAGTGTCACATCATGCAGTGAAGCTGCTATGGTCAGGGTGCCAACAGACTGTCTGGGGCCTGTACAAGGTGTGGGGAGATCCCGGCTGTATGCTCCTGGAAGGGGCAGGGCCTTGGGCAGAATGGGTGGGGTTGGGCCTCAGTGCTACCCAGAGTTCATTGTGTCATGCCCCCTCCCCCCCCACTTCCCTCCAGGCAGCCCTCAGAGCCACCTGGAATGCACTGCATGGTGCTCTTGTGGTGATTTAAAAGGCTCAGGGATCTGGTCACCATCACCAGTAGTGCAGCAGCCACTGCAGCTGGAGCCCTGGCCCCTTTGAATCGATGGGCCCTGGGGCAGTTGCCCTCTTCTACCCCTCATCGGCAGGCCTGGCTATGGGCTATGAGATGGCCTTGGTAAACCCCTGCATCCGACCTTTCTATTACAAAATGTGTGTGAATATCAGCTTGGGAGCACCATTTTAAAAAGTGGGAGGATATAACTGATATATTAGTGTTGCATATTATCATATAATATGACTATTTTGACTCTTCCAACTTCTCCTCAAGCAACACCCCAATTTTAGGGTCATACATTCAATGCACGTCGAGTCAAACTGTGTCAGTGTCTGTCTCCATACTCCATGGACACAGAACATAGACCAAACAGTACCATTCATCCCCGGTAAACAGATCACTCTTGTGGATGAGACTAGAGGGAAGAGTAGAGTTTTGGGAAGGTGGGGGAGGCCAGCAGTTGTGCGCACCTGGACCCAGCTTGCTTTTCTTTCTGTTCCGCAGGCTGTCAGGGAGTGGGGGAAAGTACTTGTATTCCATGCATGCCTCTCACACCTGGCTGGTGAAGGGAGGAGGCAGAGGAGTAAATCATAGAATGCAAGGACTTTCCTCTCGCTCCCTGATAGTCCAGGGAGCAGGAAGAAAAGCAAGCCACATCCCAGTGCCTATAGCTGCTGGCCCCCCGACCCTCCTAAAACTCTGCCCTTGTCAAGGGGATGCATGGTGGATGGGTTTGGGAAGAAGGGTCCCAACAACCATTAATCATGTAATTAGAAACATGTGTGCTTATCACCATCCTGAGCACATGGAAGAAATAGTGGCCTATAAGCTACAGCCATAGGGTATGGTATGGAGCATCAGTGGAAAGATGCTCAGTCTTGCCCAGTGATGTTCCTTGCTCAGATAGGGAATTCAGTCTACGTCACCCATTAGTTGTGAAGCAATAAGCCTCTGTGTCCACTTTTTGGTGTCCTGTTATTGCACGCAGCCCTGAGAGAGGTTGTGGGGAAGCTTCTGGCTTGTCTTTCCATCCTTACATGGCTATACAGAGGCTGCTCACCATCTGGGCCTTAGCTTGCAAATTGTACCCATGTCTGTTTTTGTCTTTTCAGATGGTATACTCAATGGGAACCGGGATTGGCTTCCCCTGAGTCTGGAAAATGTTTTGTGCCTTTTGGATTCTGCCTCCATTTGAACTAAAAAAAACAATTAACCTCCCTTGTCCCCGCAAAAATATAATCAATGATGTAATCTGGCTTACCAGATATTTTAGATGAATGTGGTGTTTTATCTTATGATCAATCCATAGTAAATAAGAATTCATAAGTATAAAAGAAACATCAAGGACTTTTATCTTCTTTGATTATTCAAGAGAGAATTGTTAGACCATAAGGCTAGATCCTCAGCTGGTGAAATTGCTCATAGCTCCATCAACTTGAACACAGTGACCCTGGTTTACACCAGTTGAGGGTTAGATCCTTAATGATAAATCATTATTGGTTAATTTTTGCAAAGCATTTTAAAAGACCCTAACATTTAAAGTACTGTGTTGAATTAGGAGTGGTTTACATGGAAATAAAGATCTTGCCAAGTGGAATCCCCCAAGGCCTGGTTACACCATGTTTACACCAAAGCAGCACCATTGATGACATTGGAGGTACTCTTGGTTTACAGTGGGTGTAGATGAGATTAGAATCAAAGGCACACATTGGGATCTTAATGCCCTATGCTGGCCATCCTAATGACGAACACATCTCCTCTGTCTGAATAACCTCAGAATCACACAAATAAAAATAAAACACTAAGTAACAAGCCAACAGCTTGCCTTTGCATTCGGAAATAGAACTAGGAATTTATTTTTGTGTTTATTAAGATGTGCTGGACACTTTCCAAACACTCGTCATCGCATTTCCAAACACTGTTGCTGTCCCAAAGAGGACAAAAATGACAAAACACTAATGGAGGTCAGAGAAAAGGGATTCAACACACACATGCAAATAGATCTGGTGATGTTATTCATGTATCTTGTTATTTCCCCTTTTTAAAATGTCGGAACTATTCCCACCTACCTAGTTTTTTGTAGGCTTTATTTTTTAATTGTAACACACGCTAGCCTAATTTCTATTTCTCTTTAAACCTCCTGACGGTTGCACAGTTACCAATTGATTTACATCCATGTTTATTAGTATTTGAAATAAGATTAAAAATGCTGAATCCCACTCTTATGCCTAACTGCCCTTTTATGCATGATCCTTTCACATTAACCACCAAAATGCTGACCACTGGACCCTCTTTCAGGGTCTGTCATATGGCTAAGTGTTGCCCCTCATTCCTTTCTGCTTATATGAATATGCAGGGCACTACAAGCCCTGACATGCAATCTCTGACTTCTTGATGGGGAATGGTTCCATTCCTAGGAAGTAGAGAGATCCTCCATCTCATGGTAGAGGACCTGACAGGGAGGAAAGTAAAGGGAAACTCCATTCTGGCTAATTCAAAGCTTTTAAGGTGAGAAGGTAACACTAGACTAGTCCCTGAAGAACACAGACTATATTTCACTCAGTAATCTCTGAAGTGGAGAGAAATTTTTACTTCCAGTTGCATACCATAGAAGCACACAGAGATTACCTTTTTTAGCAAAAGACTCTTACTGTGTAAATAGACATAAGGTAGGGGGAAACAGAGGTGAGAAGTGAATTGCTCAAGGTCTGTGGAAGAACTGGGTTTAGACGCATGTCTCCTGAATCCCAGCCTAGCTCCCTAGCTGTTGGATCTCTCTGACAGTACAGTTGTTTCCTTATAGAAACAGTGAAAGAGTGAATGTCAGGTAAATTATCAGTGTTCACTTATATCAAGAGTGATTGGTAAGCTGCCTTTGGCTAATCCTAATGATGCTGAAGTCAGCTCTGCCTCCAACTCAGCAGGCTGCTTCTGTCTCTTGGAAGAATGACATACACAATTAGGCTGTCTTCTGATGGCTATGTTTCTGATACTGCATATGATAGAAGTTGCCTCGTATTAATAATCCTGTGGATTATTACGTTCACTATTTGCAATGGAAATGAAGGCTTAAGCTAATGAGAACAATTATTTCTGAACAGGGATCATCAAAGAGCTAAAAGGGACAACAAAACCCTTCAGTTTAAACTTTGATTTTGGAGTAGGATGTTGGAACCATGCTTGTTGGCTGGATAGGGAGGAATTGGGAAACCTTGAATTCTGTATTTCTAAAATGAATGTGGGTGATGATCCAATATGTATTCACAGGAAATTTCCAGTAGGACTAAATCACTTGGCTTTGCAAAATATCACCATGTCAATAGTCTTTCCCCAGCTGCTGAGTTCCTAATATGCCTCAGCCCTGGTCACCTGGACCTCACTACTGAGCACACATTCACATTAGTCAGCCACACATGCCCAGGGTGCATTGTCTTTAACTGCACATATTACCAGCATCATGCAAAATGCATTTCCCCCATGGGCAGTTCTTACTGTGTCATAATTGCACAAAAGTCCTTTTTCACTGGAACACTGACAGGGATTTTTCAAAAGCTTCAGGGGGTAGCTGAGTTAGTCTGTACAGGATAAACTTAAAAAACAACAAATAGTCTGGTAGCACTATAAAGACTAACAAAACATGTAGATGGTATCATGAGCTTTCATGGGCACAGCCCACTTCTTCAGATGACCAGAGTGTTGGATGTCCAGAACTAAAATAAGTAGGGGAGAAGGGAGGGGCTGTTTCACTGGCAGGTTTCACATTTCTACAGAAGAAGAAAAGGACTGAGCAGGCTCCATATCCCTTTGTAACCATCCAGAGTTAGAGAAGGGAGCTGATATGACTCCCGGAATAAATTAAAGTAGCCCATGTGGCTGCTTTGTGTTACGGCAACCGTTCCTATCAAGGTTGCCTATGGACTGTGGTGTAGTCTAAAAACTCCATTGCATTGACTGCTATAGGTATATCCCTGACTGACCCCAATCTACTCACTCCTGCCAAATCTCCAATGATGTGGTGACCCATTAGGGAGTGGTGGCCTGTGAAGGGCCACTTAGGTTGCCTTAGGCAGCTTCTGCCTTTTGGGAATTTTCCCATGACCCACTGCAACTTTTTTTTTTTATTGGCTGAAGCAGAGTAGAAGGGGTGGAGTGGGTTCCAGAATCAGTTCTGTCAGTCTGCTGTAAAGCATCCTGACTATCATGGTTTGAATCATTAATGAGGCATCTAGAGATCTTGGAGGTGAACTAAAAGTTACGGATTTGGAATTGAGAATCAACTCGCTAGAGAAGAATGTTGCCTTCATATTAAATCTGACTGCAGCCTCTTGACTACTGGGAGTGTGGATAGCCCACTGTAACACATGCTGTTGTATCACACACATGCATTGCAATGCACAGACATGAAGTGCGAAGGATACACACTGATCTGGGTCATTATTGCCAAAAAAAATAATAGAGGTTATTAATATATCTTTGAAGAAACCCAATTTATTTACCCCACCCTTATTTCTGAGCTAATATTCATGTCAGTGGATGACTCTTCAAGTAAATCACTGTAAATATTCACCGCAATATCCTTCATTCTGGCTGACTGGATTTACGACCAGTCTAAATCATGATCCAGATCACAGGGAGTGCATGAAGCCCAGACAGTTTCAACTACATTGTCACAGCTAGATGGGGTCTGGCCACTGCTGCGTGCTCAGCAAAGGGGCTCAAGGTAATGCAGAAGGGCAATAAGTGAGCATGGCCATTGGAAAAGGGGCCTATAATAAACTGGCTCACAGTGTGACTTCACATGGCTAACACTAGCCCGCTAAGAGCCACCAGGTAAAATAAGCAACAAAATAACATTTTAAAATGGTTCTTGGTTGAGAAGATTCTAATTTCAATGATCACTTCTGGTATGTTTGTTCAATTTTATCTGAGGCAGAGTTCTGTTTACTTCCTTTCCTGCAAACAGTGGCAGGCTGAGAAGAAACATTACCAGTAGCCAGGTGGTATTAGGAGAGCACTATGTATGGCCCTGGAGACTGAGGTTTTGTATCACGCAACAGTTTCAACCTGAAACCTGGTTCTCAAATGTGGATACTTACATTTGTATTTGAAAGAATCAGGAGAGGATAGAGAAGTGCTTTAGGAGCTTTAAGACATTCCTTAAATGTCTAAATTAGCCACTTTGGAGTTTGGCAACAATTTTAGGCACAAATGTGTGAGGAGAGGGTAGCAGCCATGGATTCTACAGATACCAGAGTGCTTAAAATTCTTCATGCCCATTCAGTTTGGGTGCATCTACACAGCACCCTTACCATGAAATAACTTATACAGATTGTGTAGCTTATTTCAAGGTAATTTTGATATAACGGGTTTGCTCTTGAGATGTGAAATAGCTCCGCATTGTAGACATAGCCTTTGAGAACTCTGTTGGCACTCCCAGTAAAGACACTGATTCGTACAAAGTGTGGTGCTGCCGAGACATGTATACCTGTCCACTAGAGCCCAGACCGACACCAGAAAAGCCACCACAAAGGAAAACATGACTGTTGCCAACCTAGGCAGGCTTTGAACCAGCAAGTGAAGTGCATAGAGCCATCTAGAAACCATATATTTTTAGCCTTTTAATCCTAGTTTGTGGTTTTATTGATTTGTTGGCAACAGCTTGAAGATCATTATGTTTTAGTGTGCTCAAAATCCACAAGTTTCAGTTGCTCTAGCACTGTAGTCACACAGCAAGTCTCCTTGGTTGGTCCCATAACTCCTCTCCACACTTAATTAATAGATTTTAAAGCAAGTAGGGACTACTATGCTTATCTAGCCTGGCCTTCTGGCATATCCGTGGAATGTCATCCAGTAATTATTGTGTGAAGCCCATAACTCAGGGGTCGACAGCCTTTGGCACATGGCTTATCCGAGTAATCCGTTGGTGGGTCATGAGATGTTTTGTTTACCTTGGCTATCCACCTGCACAGCTCCCTGCAGCTCCCAGTGATCGTGACATGCCATTCCTAGCCAATGGGAGCTGTGGAAAGGAGTGCAGGCCACAGGAATGTGCTGGCCACTGCTTTCCTCCTCCCTGGGGGGGGGGGGGTACCCCCCAGCCACTGGCAGCTGCTGATAGTCAAAGTAAACAAAATATCTTACGGCCTGCCAGTGGATTACCCTGATGGACTGTGTGCCTAAGGTTGCTGACCCCTACCATAACTTCCGTTTGAGCAGCTCCATATCTTTGATCAAGGAATCTAATCACTATTTAAAACTTTCAAATGATGAAAAACCCGGCACATCACTATTGGAGCAGCTCTCCTAGTGAATTGCCCTCGCTATTAACAACTTATGCCCTATTTCTAGTCTGTATTTGTCTAGTTTTAACTTCCATCCACTAGATCTTGGTATTTCTTTGTCTGCTCATCTGGTCTACGTTAACAAGGTAAGTCAATCAAAGTCTTGCTAGTTAAGTTACATATATTATGTAGTTTAAGATGATGCTATTAAGTTAATTAGAAATGTCTATACCATGCAGTGGAGAAGGGAGTTGCCCTCTCATCAACATAGTTTCCACCTCTTGGATAGATGGAGTATTGAAACTGATGGGAGAGCTCTCTTCATCAGACCCACTAAGTTGATGCTATGTGAATCCATTGCAACAGTGCCAATTTATCTGGCAGTAAAGACAAGCCCCAAGAGCTCAGAAATCCTCTCCTCAAGTCACCTTTTAAACTTCTCTTGACCCATGGGTAAACTAGTTATAGCTCTTAAGTCTCTCAGTAAAGTTTGTTTTCCAGGCCCTGTATCATTCTTTCTCTTCCAATTTGTCAATATCCTTTTTATTTAAAGGGTAAACGCCAGAACTGGGACACAGTATCTCAGCATGTTGGTTCCACAAATTCTTCTTTTTCTCCTTTCTGGGCATGTCTTTCTTCATTGCTTCCTCTGCTAATCAACCACCAGAAAGCTTCTTCAGCGTATCAGCCATCCTCTCTGCTGTTAATGTTCACCTTATTGGCTAATCAGCACAGCTGCAACCTGTAAACATGTACCATTTACTGCTAAAGTTTCCCATTAATCAGCCTGCAGTTGCTTCTGATATTAACCCACCTTTTCATCTGGCTCCCTCTTCCCACCATTCTAGCTGTTGTGTTTCATTCTAAGAATCATGATGTCAGCTATTTGTCACCCAACTCACTGATGAAATCATAATGGATTTTTTTTCTTTCTTACTCTTCAAAACTGCCATCAAATTGAAAAATCCCTTATTTTCTCAGCTCTAATTACCGCCACCCACTCCTTGTCCACTGGGAAAAAAATTGCAATTAACAGGTTAACCACCCCCCCCCCCACACACACACGCACACATACACACAA